CTGAGATGGTTGACATCATTATGGCGAAATATATGTTTTGGCACCCTGCTGTTACAGATCCCCTGGATCATGGAGGCATGGTTTCCAGAATCAGAGTAGATCTCACAACCTGGGGAAACAGGTTACAGCCCAGTTACATTTTAAGTATAGAAAGCATTAACTGATTCCTAGCATTGCATTATGTATGGGAAGAGTTCAGGAAACAAGGGTAGCTTGTTCTTGAAAGTAATGCTCTTGATCAAAAGAACAAGTTACAGATCATGAAGCAATAATAATATTTGAGGCTAGGCGTTCACACTAACTCAAATGAGAGCTTCAGAAAATAGTTATCTAACTCTCCTAACTTCTGAAGTGAGAGAGAAGTTCACCCCTTCCAGTAGGAGGATGCTAAATTCCCGCTGTCTCATTTTCAGGTAGAGTTTAAACACAGGAATAGAAGACTCAGCTTGTCTAATTCCTCCAGCAGTTCCCAGCTCATAGATCTCAATCTCAGCAGGTTGATATTGTCATTTGTACTGAATATAACTTGAATATGGTATTAAAACCAGCAAACCATACTCTGGCCCATGGATTAGGGTGAATTCTCACTTTGGACAGCTGTTTGCAAAACATACTCCAAACAGCTTGGGGCAAGGCTGTGTTTTTGTAGCAACAGAGGTGCAGTTTGAGATCTTACCTGGCAGCATTTTAGCCAGAGTGAAGAGAGTGGAGTCGTTGGCTACAAAGCAAGATGAGAACAACAGTGCTGCATCTTTTCCATGAAGATCAGCTAGTTCTTTTTCCAAGTCGACATGAAATTTACTTGTTCCTGATATGTTTCTGGTGCCTCCTGCTCCAGCACCATGTTGTTTCAGTGTTTCCCTAAAGAAGGCCCAAGAGAGGCATTAGCTTTGCTGTGGCACACACAGAAAAGGATCATTGCTGAAAACATTCCTGTACATAATCAGGACTGTTTTAAAAAAGAACTGGCAGCAAAAAGCAGGTGTTGGGTCTTTGAGCAACCTGCACACTTGGGAGTCCTGTAAGGTCAGGTATCAGTGACCAAGCACAGCTGCAATATACCATCCAGTTTATCTGGTAACCTCTGGGGCTTTTAAGGAACATCCAAGGAGCACAACCAGTGACCAATACACACAGTGCAGCCCTGGATCTGAACACCAAGTGACCACTTAAGAAATGAGTGTAATCTTAATGCACACCAAGAATCACATCGGAAGCAGCTTATGCCCCTCAGTACAGAAATCAGTTTTTCAGAAGCCCTCCAACAAAACACAGCCTGAAAACACCTCTGAAGAACACAGCACCACTCACATGACAGCCCCACAGACACGAGGGTGGCGGCTCATGCCCAGGTAGTCATTGCTGCACCAGACAGACACCTCCTTCTTGGTGATCAGGGAGTCGCTGTAGTCGTCTGCCATGGGGAAGATCTGCGCCTTCCGGTTCACGGTCTTGAACACTCGGTAGGTGTGATCCTTCTTCTTCTCATCGATCTTCTTCTCAAAGAACTGATCATACTGGAAGGTGGACACAGCTGAAAGGAGACAAGAGACTTCAGCACGCAGGAAATAATCACAACAGACCGGGCCTCTGGGGGTTTTGCCAGACATTCTTACATTTTGGCAAGTTGTCCTGAAGCAGATGAGAGACACTTTCCGGTTTTTGCTTCAGCATAATGTCCTTAAACTTCTCCAGCAAGCCACTCTGCTCTGCTCCCTCAGTCTCAATCTTTCTCACTGTGGAAGTACTTGGTATTTTGGCAAATTCTGTACCTACAGATATCGTAATAAATTCCAGTGAGTTTGTTTGGTTTGAAACAGAGTGAAGTAAGTTGTATTCAGCAAAGCAAACATTTTAAGTAAAGCCAACATTTCAATCTTTGGGAAGGACATGCCCAAAACCTCATGTTGATCCTGCTAGGATGAACTATTCTATTTGCTTACAAATTTGCCTTTGACAAGACAGAAGGATTAGCCTTGCTAATCAATCACAGTACAACAGGCAATTTCCTTGTAATGTATTTGGTTCATCATGACTCAGAGAATCACACTATGCAGCTACAGCACTCATCTGAAAGAACTGGTACACACCTAACTGAAGGCACAGTTCTAGTCAGCTGCTTCCTTTTTGTTCTGTTAGCACAGATTTAAAAAAAAAAAAACTATGCCACAGAAAGCAAGCAGGAAAGTAAAATAAGCCTTGTGAGACAGGCAGCAAGGCTTTACTGACACTGCTGAAAAGTTCCTTCCTTTGAAGGACAGCCCTTCCACACTACCACTGCAAGCCAGCCAACATCCTTTAATTCCACAAACACCAAAAAACCACCCCAAAACCATTTGCCTGCTTTCAAGCTTGGATTTGTGGTGGTACTTGCCTGGTGTCTTGACACTTTGCTGCATTTTGGATATAAAACTTTTGTCTAAAGCAGCACCCTGGCAAAGCTCTCTTGAGATCTAAACATCTGCTTGGGTGAAAGTGTAACAGCTTGACTCACACATCTAGAGCCAACCAGCACATCAAAATACAGCTCATGGCATTTCCACATCAGAATCACCCAGGGAAGCCCTGCACAACGTCACAGGTGTGTCATTAACACCTACATTCTCCAGCAGCTTTTCCCTGCAGTCTCCCATAGTCCCAGCTGCATCACTTCAGAGGTGCCTGTCAGACCTGGCACGCTCCAGATGCAAGGCAGGCACCAGAAGCTCTCGGGAGGAATCCCTGCTTCAGTGCACAGAGAACGTACCTTTCCTGTCAGCCTGCACTTCCTGCACATCCTCCTGCAGTTCCAGGCTGGCTTTGCAGAAAACATTGCTCTTCTTGTGGCTCATCTGGGCTGCCAGGAACGGGCATTTGCTAGCTGTACTCTGGCTAGCACTGGCAGGTGGGTGGCCAGCAGGAAGCTGGGTTCCATCTGCATTCTGCTGGGCCACTTTGACATTCTTGGCCTCTGAGATGGGGACAGAGAAGGGAAAACATGTCAGCTTCATCATTTTAATACACTAACTTCTGTTTTTTGATCCATTACTTTTGCAACTAATTTGGCAGGACCCATTCAGAACTATTTAAATTAGCAGTCACATTTTATTTATACAAGCGCAAAATCCCAGTAACACCCAAGGGACGTCTGATTTAAGATGCTAGATCTAGCACTGTACCCTTTGAGGGGCAAAAATACCTCTCTTTCCCTCCCAATGGGAATATTTAAGGAAAGACTGGATATGGCATTAAGTGCCATGGTTTAGCTGACACGGCAGTGTTCAGTCAGAGGCTGGACTCGACCTCGGACGTCTTTTCTAACTTGTGATTCTGTGACCTTCTTTCAAGGACTTCAGAGATTTTTCAGCCATGCAGCTTCCTCCACTGCCAGCCTCAGCTCTTTGCCCTGAGCTCCCGGGACAGAATTCCCTAAGGAATATTCCCCAAGGGCGGCGTGAAGGGCCACCGTACCGTGAGAAACCCCGAGACGCAGGATCGCGGATCCGCACCCGGGGCTCGCCGCAGGCCGCCCCAGCAGGCCGGTCCCTGATTCACACCGCGGCCACAAATTTCCGTACCGCGGACATTTCAAGGATTGAGCAACCCCTGCCTCGGGGCTGCCTATTCCAGAAGTTTCCCCCCGTGACACGCAGTGTCTGTGTCACATTTCCCCCTCGGGGACCCTCGGCCCGCTCCCCGGCCGTACTCACCGCGGCGGCCCGCGGGGGTCTCCTCCTCCGCCTGCTGCCCGCGGGCGGCGGACGTGGCGAGGGCGCGGGCGGCCGGCGGGGCCGCCTCCATCATGCGCGGGCAGTGCTGGGCGTACAGCAGCAGCGACGGCCCGGCCTTCTGCAGGAACGCCTGGGACACACGGGCCAGGAACGGGCAGCGCCGCACCACCGCCTCCATCCTCGCTATCGGACGGGACACCGGAGGTGACGGCAAAGCGACACCGGCGACGGGGAGGCGACACCGCGCTGCGCTCCGGCACTGCCGCCTTTATAGTCCCGGGGGCGCGGCGCAGGCGCGGTGGTGCCGCGCAGGCGCGGGGAGGGACCGGGGGCGGCTCCCGGCCGCTCTGGGGAATTGTGAGGGACTTGGGACAGTCGTGAGATAGCGGGAGCGTCCCGAGGACAGGGAGAGACTCCCGGGGGTTGTGAGGGACTGGCGGCGCCCCCAGCACGGGGAGAGGCGCAGGGGGTTGTGAGGGGCTGCAGGCGTCCCGACCCCCGGCGGTCGTGAGGGCTGGAGGCGTCCCGACCCCCGGCGGTCGTGAGGGCTGGAGGCGTCCCGACCCCCGGGGGTTGTGAGGGGCTGCAGGCGTCCCGATCCCCGGAGGTCATGAGGGCTGGAGCCGTCCCGACCCCCGGGGGTTGTGAGGGGCTGGAGGCGTCCCGACCCCCGGGGGTCGTGAGGGGCTGAAGGTGTCCCGACCCCCGGGGGTCGTGAGGGCTGGAGCGGGTGTCGGCGCCATGGGGGAATGGGATCGCTGTGAGGGTGTGCGGGAGACTGAGCCGCTCCCGCAGCGCTGTCCGGGTACGGACGGGGCTTGGGTACTGTGGGAGCGCTGCTCTGGGATTCCCAGAGCCCCAGGCTGTGCAGTGCCTGTTTCCCAGGAGGTTTGGGCTCCCTCGCCCCCAGGACAGGAGACTCGGCGTCACCCCATTGCCTGTTCCTGGGAAAAGGCGAGCTCTGACTCGGCTGCGCTGGGGAATCCAGCGCTGCCCGGCCGCGTCTCGGTGTCCTGTTCCTGAACGCCCCTGTGACTCCCTGCAGAGCCGTGCCCGGGGCTCGGGTGGTGGTGGTGGGATCCTGAGCTGCTCTCACTTTTCCTACAGCTGGTATCAGTCTAACAGCTCCTCTAGGTGACAGCTCCTCAGACTTTCACCATTGCGTTTTTGCTGGGTTTGTGGTGGGATCCTGAGCTGCTCTCACTTTTCCTACAGCTGGTATCAGTCTAACAGCTCCTCTGTAGGTGATGCTCAGGCTTTCACCATTGCGTTTTTGCCGGGTTTTGAAGGGAAGAGCAACAGCAACAAGTAAAATAGAACCTTTCATTCTCTGGTTTGCAATGGACATTAAAGCTTGTTCGCTTACGAGAGTATTTGGTGGGGAGGGTAATGGTGAAAGGAGTTCTCCTTATGCGTGTGGCCATTCAAACCACAGCAGTGCTATTTCCTGTAAGGGCTGGCTGCTCAAGTGTGGAAGGAATGGAGAAGGAAAAACGACAACGCATTTTTTTCCCCCTCATCTTGTGAAACAATTTCACGGAAGACAGGATTTGGGTAGAGAGCCAAGAGCTGTCTTGGGCGCTTTGGGGCAGGAGTGGGTTTTGTAACAGGTGTGGAGTTTGGAGGAGAGCTTTCTTAAAGGTCACTCCTGGCTCTTGCCTTGCATGAAGTCACGTTGTGTCGTTACTAGAAGGTGTTCACACAGCATGACTAGAGAAATACAAAGCCTGTGTAGGACTGTGGCTGCTGAACACAAATTTGGCTATTAAAAATACTTCTAAAAGTGTTGGTTAGCATTTAGGTATTGCAGATTAATCTTTTAATCTGGGGGATAACCAGCGAGGTATTTGCCTGACCCTCTTTTATTCACCACTGACTTGTTTGAGGATGTTGCATGGAGTTTGTAAACTTTGGGATCTGAGTAAGTTGGTTAGGAGGAAAACCTCATAGTCAAATGTCAGATTTGATGTCAGCTCCAGTGTGTCACTAAGCTCTGAGGCAGGAAATGGGACAGATTTCTGCCCTCACATACTGCTTACAAAGCCCTGGAAAAGTTATCTGGGGTTTGACAAGGTGGGGTGTGGGATTTGGGTTTTAGTAGATGTGTTTTAAGCACAGTTCTCTTCTTGCTTTTTAGAAATTTAAGACAGTGTTATATAAGAAGTCTCAATGCTCAGATCTTAACTCAGTATTTGTCAGAGTAATGCACAATTGGTGTCATTGAACCAGATATGTGCTAGTTTTAATTTGTTCAGTGGATAAATTATTAAAGTAGGGCAGTGGTATTTGACCTCAGCCTCTCAGTTATGATAGCAGGAGTCCTGATCATTTGGTAGTACCAGGATAGTTTTTTGAATTATTAGTTCAGTTGCTCATTAAGAATTTATTTTTGTTTTTTCCCCCACCCCCCACAACTGTGTTTTGGCTAGTGTTACATACCTGAAGTATTTAGCAAAATAATAAGTTTAAAGACACCTGATCTGTGTTTCAGATTACTGTTCCCTGGAACATCAACATTTGACTCTCTACCCTGAAGTTTTGTATCACATCAGTTATTCTGAAGATGGAGGGAACATCACAGCATTCTAACCTGACAGGTGTCCTTAGAGCACAGTTCATGTGTCTGGGCCTCAGGGATCACTCCTGGAGTTAATTGCAGTTTTAGGAACAGAAATCAAGTCCCATAAGCTTGATTTATAGTATGTTGAAAGCATTTTTCTTTCTCCTCCTATTTTTCCCTTACCAATTGTCCATGACACTTAGCTCAGAGGGAACATGTGTTTTGTTGTAAGAGGCACCAGAGAAAGGTGTTGTGCAAATGAGCACAAATCTGCTGCAAGAGGCTGCAGAGCTTGTCTGCCTGGACACCTGCCACAGCAGGTTAGCTCCCTCAGAAATCTGATAATCCTCCTTTATCCTGCTAATCTGAACAGCAGCACCTTGCCATGGTGTAGGGCTGGGGGATGAAGTGCCTGTGTCTGCTTGGTTGCTGGAATTCAGCCTGGTGGGTTTGTGGTCAGCAGTGCACGTGAAGCCTGAAGAGAATCTGCTTTTTACACAAACACCATTCAAGGCTGGCAGCTGAGAGCCAGCGACCTTGGCTACGATATGGAGATCACCAAATACAGCAGAACTCTCAGCTTTCCTGTCACACCCCCCTCCAGTCTGTGCTGTTCATCAAACACTGCAACAACACTTCTTTTGAAGCTTGATTTTGGTGGATTTATTTAACCTTGTACATGACAGGAGTTGCGTTAACTTGACCCTCATCTTGGAGGGTGCTGAAGGAGCTGTCCTTGTCGGAGCTGGATGGAGCTCTGGGAGCAACAGAGCAGGGAAAAGTCAGGAAAAGGGTGTCTTGTCAGCTGCTCTGCCCGTGTCCTTCCTCCCTTTGGAAATACTGCTGAGCTTATGTGTTGAAGGTGAAGTAAATACTAATAAAGCTGCCGTTAATTAAAATTTCTTAGGGATTCAGTGGATTAATTAAACGGTGTTTAAGGATGTTAATTGTGGCAGTGTATTACTGCCATCCAACAGGGCTCAGGAGAAACAAATGCTGTTTGCCACACTGCAGGAGGAGCACAGTGGCAGCCCAGGAGGGAAGAGGGGCCCATCCTGAGAGAGAAAAATCAGGCTCAGACTGGAGAGAGGCAGCAGGTACAGCAGGCAGGGGAGCAGGAATGGCTGCTTGGCACTACAGAAAGGGCAGGGTAACATAATAAAGAAGGAAAAGGGTTTAAGCAGAGGGAGTAGCACTGGTGTGAGAACAAATTTATTCAGCTGGCCCTGACAAAACGCAGCTCAGAAGGTATTTCCTTACTGAACCTATGTTTTGCAGCAGCCTTTAGAGCTGGTCCCTGAGACCAGATGGATTGAGCAGAGGAAGCTCAGCCTGCCTGAAAGGGCCATGTGTTGCAGTGGCAGAGGAAGAGAAGGGAAGATTCAGCTATCCTGAGAGCCTCTGCTGATTTTAGTTTCCTAAAGTCCATTCTGTTCTGATGATTTATCAATTTTTTAGCTAAATAAAATTAAGGCAAAACAAGATTAAATTCCAGCAGTTCGAGTGGAGGGTGAGAAGCCACAGAAAGTGCTTCCCGCAGTGAAATTGAAACGGGAGAAAATCCCCTGCCACAAGACCAAGTTAATGTCTGCAGATGTCTCTGAAGAGTTGCTGCTGAAGATGGTCTCTTTCCATGTTGCTGGTTTACCATGTAGTAAGTTACCTTGAATACTTCCCTCCCACCCTCTTCTCTCAAGCATGTTTTCCCCAGTACTCCTGGAAACAGAACATTTCTGTAGCATTCATCTGCCCTTGCATTTGTCTGCAGGTAGCTCCTTTCATAGAATTTTCATGAAATTTATGCTTTGAAGAGAGCATTTAGATACTTAGCAGAAAAGCAAAGGTCAGAGCCCTTCTGCATTCAGCCTGTTCAAATGAAAGGCTGTAACTGCACCATAATTAGCAACATCTAATCCCTTTTGCCCACTTCTGAAGTCAGGACTGTGCATATTCCTAATTTTTTCCCATCCTGTCAGTGTCAGAGAGGGCAAGCCAGAAAAACAATTCCCCCTCCCCATGCATAAACCCTTGTCTATATTGAGATCTGAATTTTCCGAGGGAGTGGGTGTGATCCTGACATCTGGATATAATCCAGACTCAGATTCCAGGCTTCATCTGAGAACTTCCACCTCCGGTCCTGAGACCAGCAGTTCTTAGAGAAGATTTAGTTTATTTACCTTTTAAGGCAAAATTAGAGACTTGTTCTAGCAGCTGCATAGTGACAGTTCTTCCGATGGTGAATTTCTTTAACACGTTTCCTGATTTGGAGCCAGTGTCTTCTTTACATGACAGAACAGGAAATCTCATTTCTTTCTAGGACCCTCTAAGCAGCAGAGACTTTGAGCAAGCTGGAGGAGCTGCTGGATGCTGAGGCTCGTGTTGCAGAGTGGCTGAGCAGCATCCCTGAATCACCAACACGGGCCAGGCAAGATCTGTACCCATCTCATACAAATGTGAGTTGTTTTGTTCCCTACTGCAGTAGATCTCCTAAAATTCATACACTGCTGGTGGCCCTCACAAGGCTTTTGGGTCAGGACACTTTTCCTGTCTGCCAGGCCCCAGGAGCTGCCCACTGCTGCAGAGGAGTTTGGTTTCCTGGCCAAGTCCCATCACAGGGGTGTGAGTCAGGCTCAGTCCTGGCAGTGGAAGCTGTTGCCACCCTCACACAAGGTACTTTGCTGTCCCACTGAAGGCACCACCCCACACTGCTGCTGCAGTCCCCAGCCCAGCTGATTAACACATCCAGCCGTGGCTTATCCTAAGTCCAGAATATCTCCCTGACATCTCTCCAGTTGCTTCAGATGTGGAAATTCACATAATTTTTTTTTTATCATCTGTCATTGTTGAGTTTGTCTTGCTTTGTGCAGCACATAGCAGGAAATGATACACTAATCCCTTTGTGCTTTGCTGCACTTGCCATGACTTGCCTCCACACCCTCATTTCCTCCTCTCTCAGGCAGTTTTCCTCCTTCTCTTAGAAGGAACCAGTAGACCCCAATCAGTATACTTTTAGTTACGGTTATTGAAGTAATTTTTCTTGCATATCTCAGCCCTCACTTCTCATTAGGTACTCAGTCAGAGGGAGAACCTTCTACATCCAGTTTAGGAGCTTGAAGTCTCCTCCACAGAAAGCAGAAATACCTTAGAAAATTTGAATTCAAGTGCTTCCTATATTGAAGATGTGAGAAGGTGGGGAAAGGACTTGGATCTTTAGTCAGAGCTCTCTATAGAAATCTGGAACTGGGGTTTTCCAGAAAGTATTTAAATAGATAGTCTGTTCCTCTCTATACAGGAAGGGCAGCTGTCAGAGGAGAGAAATGTTTGAATTCTCTTTGAATTTAAATGCTTTAGGCCCAGAAGGACACTCAAATCATGCTTATGTAGCAAGGCATCTTTGCTGTACCAGGTATCTCTAGTGAGAGTCTCTAGTGTTGCTCATACCTGTGCTACTGTGGGCTTTGGTAGGAAGGTGGAAGTGAAAGCAGAGGAGGGATTGTCCAAGTCCTTGAAAACAAGAAATCAACCCATAGGAGAGAAAAATACTGTGCTGGAGCCTGTGGACTCTCCCTTAAAGCAGTGTCAAAATTGGGAGTTTTCTGTCAAGAGGATTGCTAGAAAACAAGGAGCAGCCCTTGTTCTCTCCCTCTTGTCCTCTAAAAATATGCTGCTGTTGGCTGGGAGAGAGTTAGTGTACTTCATAGCAGCTTGTATAATCTGTGCTTTGGATTTCTGATGAAAACAGGGATGATAACAGAGGGACATTTCAGTCATTGCTGAGCAGTGCTTGTGCAGTGTCAAGGGCTTTCTGTTTCTCACACTGCCCTGCCAGCAAATAGGCTGGGGACACACAAGAAGTTGGGAGGGGACGACCCCAGCTGAGCAGAGTGATATTCCACACCATATGACATCAAAATCAGCAGTTAAACTGGGAGGGTAGGGGTTGGCTGGGGCTGTCATAGCTCAGGGACTAGCAGGACATCAGTCAGTTGGTGGTAAGCAATCTGTTTGCCACACTGCAGGAGGAGCACAGTGTGCAGCAGGGCCAGTGGCAGCCCAGGAGGGAAGAGGGGCCCATCCTGAGAGAGAAAAATCAGGCTCAGACTGGAGAGAGGCAGCAGGTACAGCAGGCAGGGGAGCAGGAATGGCTGCTTGGCACTACAGAAAGGGCAGGGTAACATAATAAAGAAGGAAAAGGGTTTAAGCAGAGGGAGTAGCACTGGTGTGAGAACAAATTTATTCAGCTGGCCCTGACAAAACGCAGCTCAGAAGGTATTTCCTTACTGAACCTATGTTTTGCAGCAGCCTTTAGAGCTGGTCCCTGAGACCAGATGGATTGAGCAGAGGAAGCTCAGCCTGCCTGAAAGGGCCATGTGTTGCAGTGGCAGAGGAAGAGAAGGGAAGATTCAGCTATCCTGAGAGCCTCTGCTGATTTTAGTTTCCTAAAGTCCATTCTGTTCTGATGATTTATCAATTTTTTAGCTAAATAAAATTAAGGCAAAACAAGATTAAATTCCAGCAGTTCGAGTGGAGGGTGAGAAGCCACAGAAAGTGCTTCCCGCAGTGAAATTGAAACGGGAGAAAATCCCCTGCCACAAGACCAAGTTAATGTCTGCAGATGTCTCTGAAGAGTTGCTGCTGAAGATGGTCTCTTTCCATGTTGCTGGTTTACCATGTAGTAAGTTACCTTGAATACTTCCCTCCCACCCTCTTCTCTCAAGCATGTTTTCCCCAGTACTCCTGGAAACAGAACATTTCTGTAGCATTCATCTGCCCTTGCATTTGTCTGCAGGTAGCTCCTTTCATAGAATTTTCATGAAATTTATGCTTTGAAGAGAGCATTTAGATACTTAGCAGAAAAGCAAAGGTCAGAGCCCTTCTGCATTCAGCCTGTTCAAATGAAAGGCTGTAACTGCACCATAATTAGCAACATCTAATCCCTTTTGCCCACTTCTGAAGTCAGGACTGTGCATATTCCTAATTTTTTCCCATCCTGTCAGTGTCAGAGAGGGCAAGCCAGAAAAACAATTCCCCCTCCCCATGCATAAACCCTTGTCTATATTGAGATCTGAATTTTTTTTTTTTTCTCTCTGTTACTTTTGTCCTCTTTTTTAGTTATTAAACTGGCTTTATCTCAACCTACAAGTTTTTACTCTTTGACCCTTCTGATTATCTCCCCCATCCAAGAGAAAGGGGGGACTAAGTATGGGCTGTGTGGGGATTCGGTGCCTACTGGTGTTAAATCATAACCAAAAATCATCTCTCTGACCTGTCTACCTGTCCCATGGGCCTGCCATGGACACCTGAGAAAGCAGTAGCATAATTAAACTGCCCTCACTTCTTTCCAGTCACCACAGACACAGATTGATACAGGAAGTGAAATCCTTTGTATAAATTGATGTCCTTTTTCTTATCAAAGTGAAGATTCCCTGACTGGACAGTTTTTAATCAGTGCTATTTCCTGCAGCCTTTACATGCTGCCTGTCTGTTCCCAGGTGTAGCAATACAAGTAAGATTGCCTTTTCAGCCTGGGAATAGGGATAAAGGCATCCAGTGAAGTCCTTACAGTCACAGTACACCTACTAGTAATGCTCGTGCTTGTGGTTTGTCTCAGCAAAGGCTTGTTATTCTTTCACACATCTGGTAATATAATTTCTTCTGCAAAGGTCAGTGAAATGCAGTGAAGTAAGGAGAAGCATTTCAGAATGAAATACCTGCTGATGACGTGAGAAGGTAGGGGAAAATCCTGCTCTTGTCTAGAGCCAAGCTGAGTGTCTCTGTGTAGGTGTTATCCCATGAATGAGTACCCAGTGAGGCAACAGAACTCTGTTAGCTGGGTGGCTTTTCTCCTTATCCAGTCATTTCATAGCATTACATATTGCTGGTTGTGAGACAGTTTTAGCAAGTGCCTTGGAGAAAGCAAGCAGTAACAGAGTAAAGCATAAAGCAGTTTTGATCTTTCATTGTTTCCATCAATTGCCAGGGAAATGTTATAGTTTTAGAATTAGTTGTCACAGTTAATATTGTATGCTATAGTTGTACAGTCAGAATCAGCTCCTTGCAAGACATAATCCAAAGGATTGAGGTGAAGAGGCCAAGTAGTAGAGCAGAAGGATGCCTCACATTTAAGTAGAGGTTTTCCAGACATGAAAATAGCATGAAAGTGTGTGGCAACAGGGGGTATAAAACCTCACAGAGCCAAGTTCTCCTGTGAGTGGAACACCACAGCCTGTGTATACACCAGGAAGGTGGAAGAATGAGCTTGCAGCCTTCTTAGGGTCCAGCTCCAAATGCTTCCACCTGCCAGTGTGCATTCTGCCCATGGCGTTTGCTGTGCTGTTTTGCAATAGCTCTTGTTGCTTAACCTGTGAGATGCAAGACATGCTATTCCTCCTTATGTACTGAAGATTACAGATAGAGGGTGGTGATTAGGTATTAAAATGAGAAGAGTGTCAGCTATAGGGAAGAGGGGGCCTTGTGCTGAAATATTAAGGGAGGAAATTAGCACATTGTATCTCAAAATCTGAACTTGACAGCTGCAGATGAGAGAAACTCTGTGACGTATTGAGATTACTGGGGTATGCAAGGCTTCCATTCCTTGTTTGCTTTTGTACTGACCTCTCCCAAAAGCTGCCAAGTGTTCTGTGTGCCTGTCTTACAAACAGCCTCAGTCATGCCAAGCTCTGGACTCCACTTCCAAGGCTGCCAGGCCACTGCCTGCCAAGCAGCACAGGCGGTACCAGGAGCAGTGAGGATGCCAGGACAGCTGGACTGGGAGGTTTCCTGGGGTACTGTGACCCTGCTGGCAGCCTTGTCTGCTTTGGTTTATTCGACCTGATGGTTCTGCAGCTGCTTTGAACATCATTCCAGCTGAGCTCTATTGGACTAGAGGACTCAAAGGAGTGAGCTGTCTCTGGCTTGGTGTGCTGAGCAAACCTAGTTGTGTTGTGTTGGCTTGGGATGGTGGGAAAATGTGTTGCTCTTGGGCCTCCAGGAGATGTGGTAAAGAACTCAGAGCTTTTAAGGTCTTCTTTTCAGGAATCTCGCTGCTTAATTGGGGGTTTGGCATGTGCTCTCCCTTGGAAATGCATCTTGTCCCAGCCCTGGGCAAAGATGAAAACTGATTCTAGAGAATGTCCTAGAAAGAGATGGAAGTGCAAACATGACATAACAAAAAGGTTGAGAGGGATCAGCTGAGACATTAAGATTGAAATGGCAAAAATACAAACCTGAGGTTGAGTCATTCTCTTTACTTCTGTGCCTTTCTCATGTCACACTGACTGTAAGAGCAAACCAAGGGAGAGTGCAGGATTATTGCTGGCCTAGCACTAGTGATGGATCAAGTGATTGATCTGTGTGCTGTGGTTTTATAGAGAGCTCTGATAATCTTATGGAGCTTTTATATACATTAGATAACCTAGTCTCTTCAGACTTGCAACCCAGAAATTCCTGCAGA